TACGTATTTATTGTTTGATTATTGTTTGACATATAAAAATGTACATTATTTTTATAATTCTTAGTTGAATTCTGCTTTGAGTACTCCAGTGAAAGGTACACAACGTTCTTGGTCATCAGCAAACTCAACACCCACAATGTTATCTCAGATATCAAAATCTACGTTAGGTGCAGGTGGAAGCACATTATCATCTACACCAACATCTGTGAAGCAAACAACAAAAGCGGCGAACAATCTATCAAACTATTCGAATATGTATAGTGTTTATGGTATTAAGTCAGGGTTGGAAATACTAACTTGCGCTGATATTAAGGATATGACTGGTATTAAAATACCATCACATAATGATACTTGGTGGTGTATTTTAGAATTTTCATGCCAAGAAGTACGTGAATGTACAGATGATTTGGTTATATTTTTTTCGAGTAGCTCGGAAATGCAAAGATTTTTAAGACTTTTGGAACAATTATGGCAGTCGAAAAATGTAAGTATGCATTATTTTAAAATAAATCAAATTAATCACATCATTATATTCATTTATAATGCATGACAGAATGATTTATTCCCTATTACTGTACTGGATGAGGATGATTTGATTGCTGAGCAGTGTACTATGCTCTATATTGATATTAATCGTTCATGGGAGCCTTTATTGTCAGCTGCTTTAGGTTATCCTTTGTAAACGTAATAATTTGATTAAATGCACTTTTTAGAATAATACATATAAGAAAAACATAATAATAACCTATCCGAAAAAATATGTATTGATATTCTCGAAATTCAAAATATATTTTAAAAGATATGCGAGATATATATAAAAACAAATGCTTAGTAAAACTAATGATATTAATATTATATTTTATGCAGTTTAATAAATTATAAACTAGTATTTCTATTTTGTTTCAACAACGGAACATAATACATTGAACATTTTATTATGTTACTTTACTATTGTGTTTATTATGCACTTAACCAAATGACATTATTTTGTAATTAAAGCTGTTTTTATTATGTAAATCTATATTAATAAACTACTCTTCACATAAGAAAAACAAAATGTTTAACGCCATTTTTGTAATATTTAAATTTAAAACTTTCGTACAAAATTGTAAATTTATTATTCTTCACTAAGATATTTTATTTATTTCGTAACAGATCTCAGTATTTAGTTGAATAAACATATGTATAAGAATAGTGCGAAAAATGAATAAGAAAGAAAAAATATTTTATCAGCTTATCCTGATTTATTTATTTACTTCATTTGTGATATAAATTTAAGTTACATCTGTATTAATTTACGTGATATTATTTTAAATACACATTATCGTTTCAAAATGACTACCTTCAGTTATATTTAAGACAAAGTTATAATATTTGAAACTTATTTGTCTTTTTTGTTTGAAATATAGAATCGTTGATATCAATATGTTTTAATATACATTATGTCTGTTATGTTTATTAGAACTGTAATAGACTTTTCAATAATTTATTCTGCACTTGTAAAAAGGGCACAAAAATATGTATTACTATTAAGAAAAAAATACAGAAATTAAACTCTGTATTAATTGGATCGTCTACTGGTTTTTGGAATTTTCCATATAAGTAAAAACTTAAATAACATTTATTATAAAATTTATATACAAAATCTATATATACATATATATTGCTTACGTATCTTATTACAACTGTGCATTAATAACTCAGCCTTTTTGGCGCTTGCACTAAAATGTGCGCAAATGTACTCATAATATAATAATCTTATAATAATTACATTAATTAATAATACGAAATAAATGTATTACCAAAATTCTTATTTTAAATGTTATTTTTTTAAAATACAAAGTCAAGAATAGAAGATGCAAAAAGAGTAAAATATACGTCGGAGTGGTTGGATTGCCAATGCCGATGGCTTTAGGGGGTGTGCGAGCAGGCGAAATCAGGCGACTTCAATGGTAAAAAGCTCGACTGTTATTGCAAATTATGCAGATTATGTTAATTATGTTTCATGATTATAATGATGTTAAGTGTACCTTATGCAAAGATGGTCATTTGAGGAAAATTTTAAGTATCTTTACCGACAAACAAAGAAGTTTAAGATACCAGTATGAAGGAATACAACCAAACCTCAATTATTGTGAAATGGATTACAATTTGAGGACTAGTTGTGGATATTGCTTCCCCATAAAGAAATGAAACATTGCATCGGGAAGAAGAAAATGTTAATTTGAAATGTTAAATGTAAAATTAAGCCCTTACTATCACAAGGATCACGAAAACATCCACCTAAGAATTGCTGTATTTTTATAACATATAAGGGGTAAAGTGTGTAAAATTGTTTTAAAAAAAAATTTAAGAAGAAATCAACAAAACTGTTTTAAGAAATTTTATAGCACGGTTGATCAAGACCCTTGGAGATTACCCTATATAAAATAATCATGAAAAATCTAAAACGTCTGCATATACCTCTCAACCTTCATGTCCTAATGGGCAAAAAATAAAACAACTTCCCTGCGCAACAAAAATACGAGTAGAATAAAGCGTAGTCGTTTAAACAGTTTCAAATTGAGTATACCATCTTATCTAGTCTCGTAGGCTAGATGGTGTACACGTTACGTCGACTTGCTTCCACCGTTTTAGTGTCTTCTACTTTTCTTTGGTAGGATTTTAACAAATTTACAAGTTTTTTAAAAGTGACAATCACTGAATAGGGTATAGCATTCAGACTATGTGAACATTTATACTAAAATGTTCTATGGCTTTGATTATGTAGTCTGTTTGCAGTGGAATTGTAAAATTAAATGATTCGGATACCTAATAATGAATTAGTTTCAACTTTTTTTTCTTCCGTTGTGTAGGACACGTGGCATATCTCTGATTTGTAGTTCAAAGTTGACAGATCATTATGCGGATGATCGAAGGATCATCATAATTCGAGGATACAGTTTTATAGTACGTACAGGGTTTCGGATTCAGAGGTGGTGGTCAATAAGTGGGGTAATATTATGAAAATGATCTTAAATTAGTAAATGATTGATAGTTAGCAATAATTAATTATTAATCGCTATATGTAATTAGTGCCACTACTTGTCAATTGTAGTACCTTAACCTGCAGAATTTTTTAGCGAGAGCTTATTAAATTTTTTATATGGTTTTCTTTTTATAATGGTTAATGAGTAAGGTTAATAGTAATAAGTATTTGTTGTATTTAATTACTAGTTAGACAAGTTGTGTTCGACAAATGAACATTTTTTCAAAAGATTTGTTGTTTTATGTTGTTTGTATTAATAATACTCAATAAATGATGGTATTGTATTTAAATATATAAACTATTAGTTGTTTTTCAAATTAAGTAAAGTATTTATATATTGAAATTGTGTGGTAGCATTTTATAAGTGAATTGTTTTTAAATGTTTTTTTTTCACGTGCGATGGCGCGGCTACTCCAACCGTAGCTTTGTTCAAAAAAATATTAGAATGTTTTTATGTGTCAACAAAAGTAATACGACGATAATGTCAAAAAATTATAAATGAAGTTAAAAACAATAATAATTATAATAATTAATAAATTAAGGAGGAGTATATTAAATTGAAAATAAATTCAAATTATTATCTTTTCAAAATATTTCAAGCTCTTTCTAGAACAGAGGATTGCCATTACTTTTCAATTTATAAACATTTCTATGTACGTTTTTATATTTATTTATTTTTGTAATATAATTACACATTATTTTAACTAATGACTTGTCATTTTTATTAAACTTGGTTTCACATATATTAAAATTATAAACTTGGATTAACTTATTGGAAAAATTTATAGAGAAGATTATTTATTGTATTCATGTTATCATTTAAATTTTTCATATTTTTCATTTCAATCTTGATAAGGTTGTAGGTATTAATAATTACATTCTAGCTTGATTTATACGAAACTTGTAAAAAAATAAAATTTTTATTATGTATTACATAAATGAATTTGATTGACTTAGGTCTGATTAAAGTACTTTAGAAAAAATATGAATCATTTTTAAAAGAAATCAATATTCTTTGAAAACCCATAATAACTAACATTTGTATTTGTAATTAAAGCATAAATCCTTTATTTTTATTAAAATTAATTAAATTGACATTCAGAGTTTTTACTTTATAATTATTTTATTTTATTAATTTGTTACATAAACAAAGTTATGCCTAACATCACCTTATTAACGCATGGCAACCATACAATAGCTTTTACAGTAGCCAACATACCTATATTACAAATTCAGGATATAACAAAATCTTAGACGGAAGAGTGTATATGAACTATTAATAAATTTTTGTGCTCATGTTAAAAGCTGATAAAATAAAAAGTGAAACATTTCCCTTTTAAATATTAAAGAACACAGAAACTTCCAACCCTCGCATTGAAATGAAAAAGCACACTCGCAAAGACTACCGAAAAAGTTACTACCACCCCCAATAATCGGACAAAGTTGTGAGATGTGTGTTGTGTGTTGTGTGTGAATGTATTGATTTGAAGGTTCGTGGTAACGTCAGCGGCTTTTGATGTATATATTCGGTTTTAGTTCGGTTAGTTCGGTGTCGGGCGCTCGTCGTGCCGGTTTAGTTTAGTTTGTTCCTATTAAAATTTTTCGTACATATATGCACTGAAACTGAAAGTTCAATACAGCAATAGTAAGCACAAAAATTGTTTATCTTTAAATAAATTTCTACCCCAATGGGTACCCAACTTTAGAGTGTATTCATTAACTATCAGCGCCGCCATATTATTTATATGTATGTGTCTCTATCAGCAAATAATAGTGAAAGACTAGTGGTGTGTGTACCGTGATTAAATCACCGCTATAGAAAATCCTTTCATGCAACATTGATTGCATACGCGGAAAACGAAAGTTGTTGCAAATTTGCGAATTTATTTTGCTGTTATTTGTGTTAATAAGAAAATTATTATTATTATATTATAAATTAATATAACTGTTTGATTGTTTTAGTTATAGCCAATCAATTGAATTATTTTAAAATTTTGAAATTTTGAAATTATTTAATAAAATTGTGGAATTAAGAAAACATTAAGTGTGATGATGAATTTCTCAGCATTTGGAGGTCCGTTTTCTGGTATACACCAGTTTGCCGCTAAGTTTGGACACGACACTCAAACACCAGGTGCTTTCTCAACACCAGGTATAAATGGTAATACGTCTACTGATAATCATGTGCAACGGTATCAAACAAATGGAAATCATTTTAATCAAAATGTACCAAACGGTAAGTTGGTATTCTTATCGATTATTTTCGAGTTTAATAAGAATTTCTGAACTTCTTATATACATATGTATGGTATGTATGTAAATGAAAAGTGTGTATACTTATACTCAATATAAATACACACATGTCATACGTATGTGCGCGTAAATTGTACTTGGTACTTGGTTTGTTTCGTTATATCAGTTATGTCTAGATGAAAAGGTTTGACTCACGACCACCCACCCCCAAAACATTTTCCTGTATTTTACTCCATTTCGTATTGTTTTTGTTTTTGTTTTTGTTTTAAATTTACATTGCTTTGGCTCACTTTATAATGTGCAATGAACTCTAATAGCTTTTAAAAATTTTTGCATTTTATTTTGCTTGTTTTCTGAGGGTGGGATTCACGTTTTTAATAAACGGTATTGTAGCTTTTTAATGATTTCCTATAGAATACCTAATATGCCCTCTTGTAGTCAAACAATTACTGAAACTAACTTGGTTTACTCATCAGACTTGATTCTTTTTCAATTTTGTGCTTGGAAAATTCAATTTATTTTTAATTCTGCATCTAATTTATCATTAAATATGTGAACTAAATCTAAATGAATTCTTTTCATATTATAATAATGCAATATTAATCCCTATTAATTTTTTATTACATGATATTTATATTTATATGCTTTATTGCCATGACATCGAAAAAAAACAAAAAGCTTTTTAAGTTCAATGATCCTTAAATAAATAATATACTTAAATGATAAACGTAAAAGGATTTTTAAACATGGAAGGCAAATTAAAAAAAATTTGATCAATATTACAATTTAGATTGCTTTTACACAAAGTACATTTTAATAAATAGTAAAAAAATTACTTCTTATTATCACGATTAAAACAATTTTTTGTTTATATATTCAATGACTTATACTTTTGATCATCTCGTAAGGGTTAAGGTCAGTATTTTAAAGCTTAAATAAGAATATCAGATTTTTTTCATACTAAATCTGATTAGAAGAATCTACATCTCTTTTCTAGATTATGTCTTTTCGATTTCGATATTATAAATTTCAGAATTGGTTTTTTTTGTAATATATATATATATATATATATATATATATGTATATATATATATATATATAAAAGAATAATAATAAAAGATTGATAATGGGAAGGATGTAATCTATAGTCAATTTATACTATACTATGTCCACTGCAGAGTAAACCAGGAAATTATAGAAAATCTCAATTATTGAGAAAACAGCTTGTTTTTTATTTTATATTTAATTTGATAGATCGAATAGTGATATAGGTTTATTGGATTATCAAATTTTTAATTCTGTACTCAGTTTACTATTTGATATTAATATAATTACGTACTGTCAGTTTTTCTCGGCTCGCCTCTAATAGGTATCCAACATTCTTCAGTAATATTATTAATAATATTATCAAATTCAATCATTTGAAACCAATTTATAACAATACTATTACAACTGTTGTAAATTTAAAATTAGTTTTTCATTGCAGAAGAACTTTGACCATTACATTTATCCGGAATCTCGATATGCAGATTGATTGATGACAAAGAGTAAGTAGTTTTACTTACTTACTCTTTTTTATCAAAAATAAAAACTTACAATCTGTTTCTAAAAGTAAAAGGAACACACGAAAAATTATTTTGTTTACAACGAATTAAAAATTGTAGATTTCGCATATATGAATCGTGTGTTTCATAATAACAGTTTTAAAAAGCAGTTGATGCTTTATGAAAGTCTTTACTTTTCTCTAGTTATGAAACATTTATTGGCATCCATAAAGATAGCTGTTGCGACGCTTTCGGTAACCATATTTTATATTTAGATCAACAAAAAGTGTTTTTTTTCTGCACATGTACTATACATAATAGGCCCACTATTATTATAACCAGTTTTTTCACCAGTTTTAGTTAGATTCGAGAATAATAAATACAATATATATATAAATGTATATTGTTTAAAAACTAGGAAACATTGTTAAACTGTGTATGAAAGTGATATAAGAAGCTGCAACAATTACCGTGGGAATAAAATAACATATTGTAAACAGATCTGGTATAGATTTAAGAAACCAACTTTGAATAATTATCGAATACTTCGGTGATAATAACTGATGTTATAATTATTATTTGTATGAAAAGGCGTTTGACCTATTAGACAGAGAATGCATGCAGACTGAGTTCAAAACTATTGCAATGTCAGAAACAAATATCACGTATTCGACGGACGTACATATGATAGTTTCAGAAGTTGTTCACTGCATCTGACAATTCTCGTCAGATTATTTTGTTACTACCTTTAGAGTGAGACAGAGCTCAATTTTCGGCTTTAATCTTTTCTACAGTTGAACTTACTGACCTCTTAAAGCAGACTTGAATTGGTCTACCACATAAATGATAAATTAAAACTATGGTAAAATGGTTAAATAATATTTAAAATTAATCGTCCATGATTCCAGGTTTCCGAAATATAATATAAATAAATACAACAAAAGACTTCCTTATCAAACTGAGAAGTTTCAATATTTAGGGATGTATTTTAGCATAATATTGTAGTTCAAAATGTATATAGAGGTCTTAACTAAAAAAGCTATATCTTACTGAAATAATTCTCAGAAGATACCGAATGGATATGATATTAATAAAGAAATTGGAAAGAGAGAATTTTGATGGTAAGGCTATACATTGCTTAATTTTTTATAAATGATTTCGACATACCATTAAAATACCATCTCCAACGAAGCAGAAGAAGTTCCACTAGAGCTGTCTTAATGAAATAAAAAAATATACATATACATTAACGAATAGTAGTCATACAATGTTTTTCTAGTGTAAATATGAAGTTACTACAAATTGAAATTGAAACTACAATACAAAAGACAAGCAGCGGAATAAATCTATAATGTTATAAATATGGTAGAAAAATAAATGGAAATCTTTTGTTATGGTGCTACATTACTCTATCAAAAAATTATATATAAATATATATATACTACGGGCTTACCTATTAACTTCACTGCTCAATGCTACATATAATATATGTTATTAAATCATATCATTATTTTATCTCTAATTTACATTAGTGCATCTAATATACAAAATGTTATACATTTTTTCCCACATTTATATAAAAGGGTTTGGTAAATTTAGGGAGTTGAATTTTAAAGTAGGCGGTTTAGCTCAGAAAATATGACAATATTACCGAATATAATCATAAAATAGATAAAGCCCCAAATAACTGCTAAAATAAGATTCAAAGCACGATAGGGAATTCTTATAAACCTATATAAAAGCTTGAGATGAGCTGATGAGATGGGCTGTATTAGAAGACACATCATTTAAAGTTCAGTTAAGCTGCGGTTACATCAGCCACACCAACCACCGATAAGTCTGATGACTAGGCAATAGCCAAAACGTTCGTTACAGATTTCTACAAAATAAAATCGATGAACCTGGATATAATCTTATTAACAAATTTATAATAGAAATTTTAATTATTTTTAAGTTTTAAAAGGCAATTTGCTTAAGCTAATTGTTATCATGTTTTTTTGGAAAAAAAATAAAGGTATGTATGAAAAGTTTTCGTTGATACTTTTTATAACATTCTAATAATTTCCTCCAAAATAGTTCATGAATTAAATGAATATTAATAAAATTGTATTTTTTTAAGTTAAATGACTTTATTTTTGTATATTGTTTGATTATGAATATTTGTACATATTGACTATTGTTTTTATGATATTAACATCTCTTAAGTTTAATTAACAATCACAACATTAAGATCCGTCCTTTTTAATTTCGGTAAAGTTGAATCAATGAGTATTTAATACATTTAACACACATATTGAATAGTTCAATCAAAGCCTACTACCGTCCATTTATTACTTTTTCAGTTCTATTACTGTAGCAGTTCAGTTAAAAAACAAAACAAAGAGCAATTTTTACCATTTTGTTTTTATTAGTTAGATTCAAAGATATTTAATGTTAAAGTAATTTAAAATATATATATATATAAAAAATTATATTGAAATTTTAATTTAAAATTTTATTTTTATTTATTTTCGTTAATAATAAATTCATTTTTGTTTAATTTTTATATTACGTTATATATAATTTCATAATTTATATCAATTTTATTTTATGCAAAAATATTTTCTTGACTATTTAACCTCTCCACTGTTTTTGCAGTTAAAATTTAGATGTACGGTTAACCGCTCTGTTTAACAATGTTTAAAGCTAACTGGAGGGAAAAAACTCTAAGAACTCTAAGTGTATTAAATCAACTATATTTAAGTCTTAGCAGGAGACAATGCATATTAGTGGAACACGTAGTGATACTTTTTAATAGAAGTAAAAATATATCGTATGTTTGTTGTTTGTAATTTTGTAGTTTTGAATTTGTACATTTCTTACATTTCTTGTGGAACCAAAATTTGAAAATGAATCATGTCGAAGTGAATCAAGTTATGTTTGTCATCATAAAGTGCGAACGTTACAGTATTATTTATGAAGTATAATATTATTTAAGATCTTCTTAAATAATACTGTACTAATTTTGAAGTCATGGAATTTGTTGACCATCTTGGTAAATTTATAATTTTTGTCTTATAGTATTTCTGTTTTATATGGAACATGAAACTAGTAGTTTGTGTTAATTGTGATATAATTATTAGTGTATATACAATATATTAATACAATTATGATGACAATAATGATGAAGAATCCATGTACATTATTCAAGTATTGTACATAAGCATTGTACATATTTATTTACATGTATGTTAAATGTACTCTCTTCCGAACATTTAACAACAAAGCAACAACAAGCACGGCAATTCTAAGCTAAGGAAACTTAAATGGAGCTTGATTGCTGCTAAAATCACCCTCCTTATACCATAAACGCTTTATACATACATAGGCATATATGCATTGGCTCAAATATGTATATGCTTATATTTCTTGTTTTCGGTACTAAGTTCTGTTGGAAATATAGCACAAGTTAAGTTTTAATTATGCTCTTTATAATTAAATATATTTAATATAGAATAAATATATTTCTAAATATTTTTTTTTTGCAAATTAACGTTTAAAAAAAAACTACTTTAATATTATGTACTTTATGAATATATGACCATTGTGACTCAAACCTTGAATGTTTTACTTAAACCCATATCATACTCAGACTGTTGTGGCTAAAAGCATTATATACGAAACATCCCCAATATTGGGGGCTACCTCAGTCCAGAATAGTGAATGGTAAATTGGTATGCATACCAACCCCACCAAATCGTTGCTCTATTTGCTTTCGCTCTTTCTCTAATTTTATGTAAGTTTAGCTTTAGCTTTAGTATTCGTATTTGAAGTTCTACAAACACATTTAAAGTTTTATACCATACCAAGCATACCGGTTTCATTTCCTATTTTCCAACTCATACACTCACTTTCCACTTTCCACTCTCACTTAACTTATAATGTTCTCTATTTCCTTTTTTAATTTTGTTTTACGTTGAAATGGGGTTGGAATTGTTCATACCAGTAAGCAGTAAGCAATAAGCAGTCAGTAGTCAGTAGTCAGCAGTCAGAAATTACTCTTACCATTTCTTCTCAATTTGTACTCGTTTCTTCTCGGCTTACTCTACTTTCTCATCGGGAGAGTAGTCAACTAAACTCATCATTCGCTGTTTATGTGTGAAAGTAAAGTGAAAAGTGAAATGCGATTTGCTTTCTATATAAGAAAAAAACGTATGTGCCATCAAATCGTTCAACGACTGCCTGCCTGCACAGCAAATGTTGTGTATTTGACTGAGCTTGAAATAAAGGAAATCATTTTTTATAAAATTCTATATTTTGCTGAACAAAAAGTATAAATAAATGTTATCAAATTTTCATAACTCTATTTCTAAAAAATTTCATTTTGCATTAATAAAAAATAATTTTTATTTAAACTAAGGACTCTTTATTACATGAATTTGTTGTCTCCTTCGCAATGATTAAATATTTAATGTTTATATTCAATAAGAAATGCAATAAGAAAAGTATGCAATATATTAAAATTTTGCAATAAGTGCAACTATTATACTTGACGTTTGGATGGCTGTACCAGAATAGATACTGGTATATCGCCATTCCAGAGATCTAATGTACTAAGTTAGATAATGTAATATGAAGAATATTTAGAAATAAAATATATTTAAAATTTTCATTTTTTATTTAAAAATATATGCCCTTTGCTGACCGATTGAAGTAGGCTAAGGACAGGAAAAAGTATCAATTAAAATCTAATTTAACCAGCTAACTTACGATGCTTTCTAGACTTTCTAGAAAATACTTTCACATTGGTACTCGTATGTTAATATTATTATTGTTATAATTTTTCCCGATTTTCTTTTTTAGTAATTTTTTAATCGTGTTTTCTGCACAATTCTATCAAATATTAATAGTGAGTTAAAGATTCTAATTCTTTAGTATTTTAATGTTAGTTATACATTATTTCCTTTTATTGTGAGACTTGATTGGTTTTAAAAAAATAGGTATTTTATTATTTTTTTTTTAATTATTTGTTCGTTTAAGAATTAGATACCCACAATTATGGACCACCTTCTGCGTAGTGATCTGGATTTTTGGTTTACTTGTACAATCTACATTTAAATTTATAACATATTATAAATTTAAATAATAAACATTTGCAGTTGAAACATTAACCACATAGTTTAATTAATTAAACACTACAACTTAAATAAAATCATGTAATCTGTTGTAGTTTCTTCTCACTTATAAAATATCTAAATATCTATAATATCTATTTTCAAGTTGTAGTACTTTTTAGATACTTTTAAGTACTTTTTAAACTTAATAGCATATTATCTTATTGAGTTAAATTTAATATTGTATATCAACTTCAAACTTTTTTATGACTAATGACTGACCATTCTAATATTTTTTTATCTTTTTTAAGGAACTAAAAAAATGTTTTAATTTTATAAAACTTTCATTACTCTCTTTAAATCATTATTTTTTTATAGTCTTCATTAATTACTTAGAAATAATTAATAATTAAAAAAATAAATATTGAAAATTGTCTGAAGTTATTTTTTTCTTTGCAACGAAGGTGAATAATTATTCCATATAATTTTTCTTTAACACCCACGCACGTATCCTCTCAGCTGATTAAACACTTCCGTTATATACATAATCAAATATACAAATACATAAACCAGCTAACTCGACCGGCCGGCATTTTCATTTTCTTTGTCCTCTGATTTTCGTTTCCACTAGTATGTGGTAGCTAGGTGCTTTACTTGTGCGGAACCTTAAATGTACACACAAAATTGTTCATCAACGGATGGCCTTGGAAACCGTTGCAGACCCATAAATATATCAGCAGTAAAAATTACAGTAACAAAATTGCCGACTGCAAAATGGCTATACGCACCGCACATGTGTTCCTGGTGTTGTGTTCATGTAATCCTGTTTGCTGTTTGCTGTTTTTGTTCTTCAACAGACACGATAGGTGGCACCTCTTACTATCTGCTCCCTTTATGTATATTTCCTCCCAAACGTACGCAGTTCGTTCTTAGTTCGGCAAAACTCGTTTGGAAAAAAATTTATAGACAGCTGGGAAAATTCGAACCTTAAGCGATGGCCGCTTTCCTAAAATGAAATCAGTTGGTGTGTGGTAGCGGTTGAGCATTGCAATTCTACAATTGGCTTTAAACTTTTTTTCAATATTTTAATATAGAAAATTATAACTTTCAATAACATTTTAAAATGTGTAATTATATATTATTTATATTATATTTTTTATGCTAAAATCCTTTTATAATGTTTTACACATTTTAATTGTAGTTTCGGCTGCCAACAACACAATGCAGTACGGGCAAAATATATCAATACCGTATTCACAGCCGCAGACTGACTTGAATTTTCTTAATTCGACCGATCATAAGAAAATCCATCCTAAAATTGAACGAGACAGGGAGGAAGGTGAGTATGAATTAGTAATAAGAATTAAATACAAATTAGTAGTAATGTATATGACAATATACATGTATGGTATATTCGTTTGCCTGCTTTAATTGTGTTATAAATTGTATAACAATTTCAGCAAGAATGTGATTATGTAGAACTCAATTTCAAGGACACTAGCTTTATTGTTATACTTACATTTATTTTTAACCGTTACACTGTCTTCCTGACATTTCTGTATTCGTTCGCACTCTGTCTGCTTTCACTTTATTCACTTTCTCTTTGTTCGTGTACATACACGGAATTTCATTAACTTTATTCTGTTAACACAGTTTTTTTGGGTTACTTTGTTACAAACAGTTATTACATAGTGCTATATTTATAGATAGAGGCGAGACATATATTAGTGTGGTTGTGTTGGTATATAACAGAACCCAAAGAACCAAATCAGCCAATTAAATTTTATATTAAAAAATATTTAAAATATAATAAAATAAATTTGTTGTTTTTTTTCTTTTTTGGTTAAAAATAAATGTCCGTCCAAAAAGGAAAACACATTACCATAAATTAGTTCCCTACAAATATTTTTATGTTATATTCTAGTATGTACATGAAAGTGAAATGTCCTTGAATATTGCAGAAATATATGACCAAGTAGCCTGGGATTTATGGCATATTTCGAGTATACATATTGGAATGAAAATGTTATTGGGGTAGGCTTTTAAACGATTCTACATAACTTTTCAATTAATATATTTCATATTCACAAAAATTTGATATTAAACATTTATATTATTTAAATATATGGAAAAAATAAAATATACTCATCGTAGTTCCAATATTTTATATATAATATAGAAAGTCAGTGCCCTTGTTTTTTAATATTAAACTAATTTGTTTTCCAAATTATTGTGATGATTTCTAAGCATCACTCTCTTCTACTGAAATATTGTATCCAAATATAGAGATTGCAGTAAGTTTCGATGAGAAGCAGATAAGGTAAAGAATAGATATGGATTTTAAGAGTAGTGATAGGATATATAACTGAGATACCTGTTGCATTTTGTTTTTTTTAAGTAATACAATTAAATTCTAGGTTATTTAATTTTTTATAACTCTTTTCAATTTATATTGAATCTGTTGAATTTTTTTAAAATATGGCAAACATATAAGATTAAAAAGAAAATATTAACAATTTTTCAAACGATTTTAAAAGATTATTCTTGCTAAAAAAATAAAAAATTAGATAAAAATAAATATAATATAATACAGTCAAACCTCTCTATAACGAAATCGTTGGTTCTTGTAAAAAACTTCGTTATAGAGAGGTCTTCGTTACAAAGAAGTTAAAAAAGTTTTTTGTTGCGCTTTTTTTGTTTTTGATTTTACTAATCTGCATTTGAATAAATTTGTTATAGAGAGGTTTTTTGTCTGCAAAAATTGATTTATGTACCTGAAAAAACTTTGTTATATTATAGAGACGAATTCGCTATAGAGAGGTTCGTTATACAGAGGTTCAAATATATGAAAAAATATAAAAAATCGCTGTGTCTTTAACACATAGAGAGGAATTTGGTATAGGGTGGTTCGCTATAGAGAGGTTTAACTGAATATATAATAATAATATAATTTAATATAAATATAAAATGAGATTAATAAATAATAATTAATTATTAATTAAGAGCGTTCCTCGACTATCTATGAGAGTTCTTTCGCCTCGAACTGTGATTATACACTCTCAGGACAATGAAGAGCGCTATCGTCCTAGCTTGTTTAACAATTTATCCAGGCGATCGATCAGTGTTCATTTTCATGTTAGACGTTAATTAATATTACAACAGTACCGTGTTGCAAAGTCAATTTGGATTTTAATTTTATTCAGTCCAAGACCGAAAAGCCATTACTTATTCTCTCAATCGCTTAGAGTATCTATTATTGTTTAATGTAGGAGGATGTAAGAGGTTATTTTTGTTTTGTAAGTTTGTTCAACATCCTATTAAACACCACATGGCCTGTTATGAGGATAAGTTTAATTGAGAATGGCTGCACCATTGTAAACTATTGCTTAACTAATAAACATGAGATTAGTGTCATACGAAAAAAAAATTTTTCATACATAACTAACATTTATCCCTTGGTTGTGCTTAAGAATAATAAAGATATAGTTTCTTAAATATACTTATTGTTTTTTCATATCCTAATAATTGGTCACTAAGCTTAATTTTTATAACTAAGCTAAAAATTTCTTCAAAATCTTCTCCCTGTTTACAGAGGGAAGAATGTCCACAATTTGTGCGCTTTCTGTTGTTGCAATGTTTACTATTCCAATTATTGACCTACTCTTTTTAAAAATTTCCTTTTTTGAATTTAAAGTTTTTAATTGTATTTTCTATATATTTTTAAATATTTAGTTTTAAACCAACAAATTTTGCAAAATGTCAATCAATCATGGCAAACTTTGGCCAATACTGCCAACACCGTTGATTATTCATCTCATTTGCTTTCCGCTACACTGCCAATTTCCATACAACACTTCCTCAAGTATTCCGAAACAATAAAAAAGGAGTCTACAGGTATTGTTGGCTCACAAATCAACTCAGGGAATTTGAATTTGGGCAATTTGGACACTACAACCGGTTTTAATATAAAAAACGATGTACTTAAAAATAGCGCAAATTTAAGTCTGGCACTTGGTGGAGTCGCATTAACTCCAACAAATAATATAAATGGAAATCATCATAATGGTATTATAGGCATGGATCATGCGCATTTACCAACTATACCAGATCAAAACAATGGTGCTACATTGAATGGCAATGGCATTAATGGTAATGCTAATGGTAATGTAAATGGATCTGTGGTGACAAGCACTGCACCAACTGTTAATGCTACATCCACTGCTGGCGGTGGTACCACAGCCACAACAACTACTGGCAAAAAAACTAGAAAGAAGAAGCCACCAAAAGAAAAAAAACCTAGACCTAAACCAGGTGAAATTCGTGAAACGAAAGCATTAGATGGTTCTACTTTGTATTGTTGTCCGGAATGTCAAATGGCTTATCCAGATCGCAGTTTGATTGAGCAACATGTTATTTCACATGCTGTCGAACGACGATTCGTTTGTGACATTTGTAATGCGGCATTAAAACGTAAGGATCACTTGACACGTCACAAACTATCACATATACCGGATAGGCCACATGTTTGCAATGTAAGTGTCAATGGAAATAATGCATAATGGTTAAAAATTGTTTTGTAACATTATGTATTAGAAAATAATGAAAAATGTTTTTTTTTATATATGTCTTCTATATACAATTTATATTTCTCAGATCTGCATGAAATCGTTTAAACGTAAAGAACAACTTACATTACACATTGTAATACATTCTGGTGAGAAGAAACATGTCTGCATTGAATGTGGCAAAGGTAATTGAATATCTGCTATTATGTTATAAGTATGTGTTATTAATAATAGTTACTATATTATATTTTATGAAATATAAATACATATGTTTAAATTCTGTTTGTTCGGTACATGTAACTAAGTATGTACATATATATAAAACATTTCATATACATATACGCAATATTATGCTATAGAATCAAATGTAGTTAAAGCTAAACTATATTATATCTTAAGTATTTGTAATAAGTGCTTAAGTCTAGCTTTGTTGCTAAATTAAGGGAATTCTTACTGTGATCGAGGTATCTATTATGCTCCTTTCATTGATTCGAAGTATTTCTCCAAATCCGATTTCCCAGTCTTATTTCTTTATGCAATAAGAGATGCTTTTTTAGGTATTTAACTCAAATGTGGATTAGTGCCGTGATTTATGGCATTTACTTCAGAGAGGTGGCTTATGAGGAATGTAAGTTAAGATAAAGTCAAACTGTTTGCTAAATGGAAATAAGCAAAATATTATCATTTATTTATGATTAGAAAATAAGAATCATTCTTTGTTATATATAATAATTCCATTACGTAATTTTGTAGTCAAAAAAAAATTTAGGGTGGGGATTCACATTCACATTTAAAAAAATATTACAAGAAAAAATTAATATTTTTGACTTTTATTTTTAAATTTTAATTTATTTGATAAATTATAATTTAACGTTAGTTATGCGTTATGCTGACAATGACTCTTTTTTTAATAGAAACTATTGTATTTTGTTAGAGAGGTTTCGAAAAGTAGTGAAGTAAAACAACAAAAATTCTTTTTATATTATTTTAATTGATTGACCATATTGCTGTTTTGAGTTTTGCCAAATACTCTTTATCAGTGGACTTGGAATTATTTCTTACTTTTAATAATATTCTCATCCTTAATAATATCCTCATATCTACTAGTCGTAGCCAATTAAAGGCATTGTTAGAAGAGCTACTGCTAATTATACTTAATTGATGTGCATGTTGATATCATTTCGATTATTCAATAGTATTAAGGAACTAGTTTAACAATATATGAACGCAAGGATGCAGATAAGATTTTTTTGTTTCTCAATGCTAAATCGAAGAACTGAGTTATACTTCGTAAGAGATTTGATTAAGATTGTGCTGACCTATTGATTGACCTACCGTCCGTAATATGATGTACTTTGAACACTTTTTTATTTATAGTAACAGAAATGAAAATAAAACAAATATTATATTACGATTAATTATTTCTATTATGTAGTTTATAAAAATTAATTTTACTACTTTTATATACTTTATTAGGATTCTATCGAAAGGATCATCTACGCAAGCATACACGTTCCCATATTGCTCGACGTGTCAAATCTGAAGTTTCAGCACAAAATGTGAACAATGGCACTAACGCTGGCACCAACAATACGCAGAATAATATGTTGCATGGTTCCTGAGGAACGTACAAGGACTTTTGGTAAATTTTTATAAAAGTTCAAAAAAGGTCCGACGTGATTTGATATCATATTAACTTTTCTTTATTGTTAATAAAAGAGGAAGTGATATGAGTATATAACACGTTTCAACCTGAAATTTTATAATGATTTATTGAATGTCCTGCTGAGCGCTTCATTTAAAAATTAATAGAATTTATAGGATTTATTATTTATTTCTGGTCTCTCACAAGTTTTTTTTCTACGTCAAAAAATTGGTATAAATATAAACCGCACAATTTGAAAAACTTATTTAGGAAACTTTTGATGTGAATTCACAATTAATTATAGAAACTGATTTAATATCTGTATTATTTGAAAAGGATATGATAGCAATTTAAATGTACAAAATTTTTAATTAACATTTTTAAGAGAACAAATATTTACGAGATAAAGTTTAAGCAAAAAAAAAAATGAATATATTGCAAGTAAAGTTATATTAAGCGATTATATATATACTAATTTTAGTCAGCGCATTTGTTTAATAGAAATTATTATTTAAAATTACTTAGAGGATCTGTGATCTTTTTCTGGTTATAAAAACAATGAAAAAATATTTACAAAGCGAATGAAATATGATTATAATTAATTATTTATATAAAAACTTATATGTATAGTCATAATCAAAAGTATTTAGACAACGAAAGTTTTTGTACATATTGCATAAAAACATGTTTTATTGTTGTTGTTGGACGTAAGTTGGAACCAAATAAAAAAAGAATTGGAAACATAACTGTTCATTTCACAAAAATATAACCAAATGCACTAATGCTTATTAGTTGTCAAAAGTATTTACACACATTTTTTTTGCGTCAAAAGTATTTACACAAAACATTAATTTCATTTTCTTCTTCTTAATTAATGATTTTTTTATGCTTATTTAATTAATATAATTAATGTTTAGTTACACCACCTTTGGTATCAATAACTGCCCGCAACCTAGTTGGAATTGATCCAATCAAGTTGCGTATCAATTTGGACCGAATATTCCCTATTTCAATTATGCTATCACTACATTTTGGATTTTTATTAATAGTGTTTTGTTGTTTTATGAAGTCTCAAGCATATTCAATGACATTAAGACCAGGGCTCTGTGCAGGCTATAAAAAAACAGCATGATTTAACTCTTTTAAAAGTGGATTTTGTCTACATTCTTGATGATATGGTACATTGTCATGTTGTAGAACCCAGTTATTGACTGGAAAAGGTCTATTTTCTGACGTTATGACATGGTTTTTTAAAATACCAATACAACCGGACTGATTTAAGGTGCCATTTTTCGATACCAAATCTCCAAATGCATAGCATAATAGACATCCCCAAAACAAAACCGTGTCACTTTCAAATCTATTAAGTGGCTGCACTGCTTTATTCTTTTGGAGTTGTAAATGCATGGAATGGATATCAAATGAACCCTAGAATTGAAATCCAGACTCATCTATTCATAACACATTGTAACAAAACTATATAGGTTACTTATAATACTTTAAAACAAATGAGAGAATATTTGATAAGGTCGTTAGAGTATTAATATTGCCTCTTTTGTGCAACACATATGTATTGATATTAATATTTTTCAACCTGTGATGTAGTGTAGCATCACTCATAATCTTGCCAATCAACTTTTCCGATGATGCTGTTATTTTGACAGGACTTATTGTAGAATTTTCTACGACTACTCGTAATAATCTTCTGCATTCCCTTTGATTCATGGGAGGTTCCCGCCCAGTCTCTTCAAATTTTTTAAATTTTTTTATTTTTAACTAGATTTTATACCGTTTTATGTAAAATTTTGCATAACTTTACCAAGTTCGTCGCCGAAATCACACTCTTATATTAAGTATCAACCTCAGATCAAATTTCAACTGATAATTCCTTGGTTTTTACCATTTTCCTGAATAATTTTTGAAATTTTGAAATCTCTAAATTTGTGTAGTTTTTGCTAAAAGCTAACAACTGCACTTACTTAAAGGAAATCCTAGAATAAATGCTAATTAATGTAATTGTGTAAATACTTTTGACGCAAAAAAAATGTGTGTAAATACTTTTGACAACTAATAAGCATTAGCGCAGTTGCTTATATTTTTGTCAAATGAACAGTTATCTTACCAATTCTTTTTTTATTTGGTTCTGCATAGATAAATCCAAGTGACAGCAAAAAAATTTTTTGCAACTTACATCCAAGAACAACAATAAAAACATGTTTTAATGGAATATGTACAAAAACTTTCGTTGTGTAAATACTTTTGACTATGGCTGTATATTTATGTGTGAAGCTTTAAAATTTAATTTTATTATGTTAAAATAAATGAGATTATTATGTGCAATTTAAATTAATTTATTTATGTTTATTTCTATGAAATATTATTTTCTCTTTGGTTTACTTTAAAGTAAATATTAAATATTTTTATATGCAAATTTAATGCTATATATAAGTATGGTGTATTTAATAATGAAAATTAACAATGAAAACCTGAACGATTTAAATTATTGTAGTTTCGTCAATTGGCAAAAAAGGTGCACTACAGAAAAAAAAAAAACTTTATAAGCCTATACAGCACCTTTTGAAAATTGCGATTAAAATTAAATTTTTAATAAAAACAACAATTCTTAATATTGATTAAAATATATGTATTATAATAAAATAATAACAGTAATATTAAATTCAAAATTAAATTCATAGAATAATAAAACTTAAATATATAATATAAATGATATAACAAGGATTTTAAGTGAAAAATTATAATTATAATTATTGTTATTGAAAATCAATTTTGGGTTAATCATACATCTGGTTCGGATATTATGATATATTCTTGATCAGGGTTTTTTAGCTCAAAATTCATTTTAACTAATAATTGTGTTTAATTTTTTTTTCTAATAATCTTATATACTCTAGAAGTAACGTTGTAAAGTTAGTCCATTAAAGCAAAATAAAACCAATATAATATTATATTAAAGCTAATATAATAAATTTTTTTATAATTACAATAAATAAACTTCATATAATAATAATTAGTATGCAAAAGAATAAAAAATTGTAATCAACCATGCTTGTGAAACTAATAATATTGTAAATTTGTCATAACAAACAACAGAAGAGCAAAAAAACAGAAAAATTGAAATTGAAAAAAGAACTAATAAATATTTTTTAAAATTAGAATTTTAAGAATTTCTAGTCATTATTAATATTAACATAATTATACTTAATATGTTTTATTAAATTAACTACTAAGTATTTGCATTAACACTTATAAGCCTAATAAGAACGAGCATTGTTCTTATAGCATTGTATTTTAAAATTTCGTATTCTATATTAAATTTTAAAAAAATTTTATAATAAATAAAAAAGTGAACTCCGGTTTTACCGAAATATTAATACCCTTCACACAGATCGTATTACTAAAATTTAATTATTTATCATTTATTTAGAATATATTTTTCATAAACATATTTTAATTTGTTTGTTCACATTAATTTTAATGCACTTTTTTTTAACGTAGTTGTCGTGTTTGATAGACTCATGAAGTAGTCAACCCACTTCATCAATTCGTTGACATATCTGCAGGGAGTTATGAAAAGCCTCTGCAAAGTTTAATTTTGTTAGCTAATTTACTAACAGAATTTGTCTGTTCGACATGACTCAATCGATTAGACTTCTTATATTGATCAATAGCAACACACACATATATATAAGATGATGTCTGATGTTTTCTTCATTGTATTCCAACTATACGAATTAGTTTGGAAAAATATACCTAATAGAAAACTTATTCAGTAGAGTATTTATAACAGACTATCAAAGAGTATTAAAATATCAAACTGTAAAAAGTTTAATCAAAAGTTTAGTTTATTGTTACTTATTAATTATTTAAAAATAGTGAATCACATTTTTATAAATAATAATTTAATCATTTTAATTAATTTATTTGTAATCATTTCATATTAATGATTTTGCACACATGTTTTTGAAAGACTTTAATTTCTTTACAATAAATTCATTGAAGGATAGTAATTTTTAAATTTTTAAAATTTTTTAAATTTCAATGGTTGTGCAAATCACATATTATAAATTGGTTTTAAGGATATTGTTACATTACAATCCTTATTTCTAACAATAAATGATGCATAATTCTCAACTAGGACTATATTAATATTGCTCGAGATTTATAATGTTTAATATTAAAAAACCGTTTTTATCAATAAAATTTATTCTAAAACAATAATTTGATACAGAAAAGAAAATAAACAATTAAATGTAAACTACTGAATATTAATTTTTATAAATGCTTTTTATAAATATATATATATATATATTTTATAAAAAAATAATGTGAACTAAGCTGATTTATGCATACAAGTAAAATAAAACTAAAATCATACAAATTTATAGCAAACGAAAAGTTCAATATCTTACACAAATTTAATACATAGATATATTATAATGAAACATTTTTATATATTTTTAAATAAAAAAAATATTTATATATTTTGTATGGAAAAGTATATAAGAAATGCAAATAGAGTTAAAATTAAAAGTTCAAACACTTCCAGCAAGTGACCGCAAATACTGTTCAAATTATATAGCATTTGACAAACTATTATTACATACATATATATATAAACCAAAAATATAAACAATATACTAACTTATGTACGAATAAACTTAATTTTTAAATATCATTGAAGCAATAAACAAATATATGCAGTAAAGAAAAAAAATAACAAATAAAAAATAAAAAATAAAAAATAAAAAAGTACTAAAAAATATAACAAATTATGTTGCAAAATCGAATTGAAGGCTAAGGGATTCGTATACGTTCAGACAGTTCAGCAGTTAAACAAAGAAATGTTTGCAACTGGGGGTCTTAACAGCCATTGCATGGTATATTATGACAAACAGGTAGTTTTATTTTTAATGTTTTGCAACAGAAAATATTTGAAAAAATTTTAAAAATTATATTGATAATTCACAAAAAAAGTATTATTATTACTGATATTAAAAAGTATTTTCCAAACATTTCTTATACTAATTGTGTATACATGTAATAGCAATAAAATACAATATTAATTTTAATACTAATTTAAAAAGAAGAAAATACCTTATACGAAATGGTAAATAAATAGA